AGATAAGTATTAGGTTTAAATATTACGTTGAGTTTTAGAGTTAAATATGGAATTTTTTGAGTTTTAGAGTTAAATATTGGAATCTTAGAATTTGAGTTTTGGAGTTAAATATTGGATTTTGAATTTAAGTTGTAGATCTAAATATTTGATTTTGAATTTGAATTTTAGAGTTGAGTGTTGGATTTTTTCATTGTAATTAGAGTTAAAGTTTTGATGTAATAATAAATTGAGAAAAAAAAGAAGGAAATGATTTGAGGTTGATTTTGTTTAAGTGTTGGATATCAGTGATGAAGTGCTAAGCACAAAATTTTTGGTGTGGGTGTTGCGCTTGTGCAGCAGAGGGGAAGTGGGAGTGTACTAACGTTGACAACGACTTTATAATTACGGACTTATACATAGACGGACTGATGTCAGGTTAGGGGGCGTTGTAAAGTAGGTGAGGAGTCACGACAACGTCCAAGGCTTCGCTTGAAGTTCACGTAGAAGAAGGGTGAGATGGCTCCACCTGACAGGACAGTGCAGGACCATTTCTTCGTTTGTTGCTTTCTCTTTGTTTCTTTGCTTTCCGACGACGAGCTAGCTTAGGATTCAAGCCTGCCTGCATGCCGCCTCGTCTGGCTCGAGCCATGTTGCTACATTACAATTCCTTTAGGAATGTTTGGCTTATTTTTTAATCCCAGATACACTCCCAAAGTTTGATCATTAAATTTCTCAACGTCTTGTGTATGAGACATTCTTTTTCATATCGGACACCGAATTTGGTGTCACAATTTCGATTGGCTTAAAATTTGTTTATGGGTTCTATACATGCAATAAGCTAACACGTGTTCGCGGATTTTTTTTTTGGTTTTTCTTTGGAGATATGATCTGTCAAAGTTTGAATTTTTTGGTGATTCTGACTAATCATGTACTTCTTCAAATCGTTATATCTCGGGTTCTGCCCGGTTTCCTACGCAATCCGCCTGAAAATGATAAGTATGCTAAATTCAAAGACGAAATGGGATGGGCCACTCCCCATTTTACAAACTCGCTTATGCATACCCTTCTAAAAGCACCTACCATTGATATGTCTGCACACTAAATTTCAACTTGGTGTGACTTATGGT